TAGCTGAATTAATTGTTTTTCTTCACTCTCGAGACGTTATCATCTAAGTTGTAACACATGGGTCATTTTACCTCCAAACTATGGTGGAAGCACACTGATAGAGTCTTTCTCTTTAAATATTCTATACTCAGAGCAGAATACCAAAAGGCTTCCTTGCTCATAATGAGCTTTCTATCTCATTAAGGATATGTTACAATTAGTTGGGCAACAGTTTGTTTTATATTGGTTTTATTTCAGACAGGCTGAAATTTCATAAAACACCCTACTTTTCACAGTAACACAGTTATTAACCGTTGGCAGCTGTGGCCTGTTAATTATTTTTATAACCGTAGTTATAAATCTACATTTTCTTTCAGTGTTTCTTAGCTCAATTTTTCTGACCTTGTTCATCAATTCTTAGGTCAACTCTGAAAAATCAGATACCTACCTAAAATGCCGTTATCTTATTTTGCCCCTGGGAAAACCACTTAGAAAGCGTAGTAGAAAGGAGAAGGGCGCCATCTGGTGGCTATAGTAAAAAAAAGTCACAGTGGTCATGTGACTAGAGAGAGTTGGGGGCCGGGCTTTTCCAGAGAGGGAACGAAATGGATGAGGGGTGGGGAGCTGGCAATCACTTTTGGAAGAAAGCCCTAGAAAATTTCAAGAAGCAAGGAAGAAACAATTTCACCAGCTGTTTGAATCGCTGGAATCACAGGAAACTGGGAACAGAACAGAAGGAAAACAAACCAACCTGGTGATCGATTGTTCAGGCAACGTGCAGCAGTTAGTTAAAAAACCTGTTGGGAGGTACAGGCAAAAATTCTTGTTATGTTATATTATTATAATATAGCCTTAGACTACTGTGTACTTGATGCATTCTTCATGTACACAAACACATATAAAAACAAAAGACCTCTAAAATGCTGGAAGGCTCTTATAACCTACACTCTAATTTAATAATGACTAACTTAAAAAATGCATGAATTTAGCCATTAAAGATTTTCAGATGTGTGGACAGGGGTTTGTAATTTTGATTTTTTCAATAGACTCTGGATCATTAATTTTTTCTTCTTCCTTTTTGAATGAATGGTTAACATGTGGAATATTAATACAATATTAAATTATTTTGTGTGACAATTTTATTAAAAAGCCTGGGTTGCCTTAACATCCTACCTGCATTTATTACTTGGCCTGGCATGCATGCTGGTATCTCATGTATTCCATTTCTGAGTAATTCTCTAAGGTATTTACGCATGTGTATGAAAGATACACATGATGTGTTTTAAGCAATGCTTCTATAGCTTCTGTTTCTTGGCTAGATGAATTTGCATTCTCCATAATGTCCTGTGTCATGAATATTTTCTAAAACTATTTTTTTCCAGCTAATAATTATTGAGTACTTACAAGATGCCAGGTCATGTCCTAAATATTAATTTAATTTATCTGAAGAATCCTGTGAGGTAGATACTCTTGTTATTCTGTTACCCTTAGTTTGCTATATGGAAACCAAGGCACAGAGAGGTTAGTTAACTTGCTGAAGGTCACACAGCTAGAAAATGATGTGTCAAGTTTTTTTTCCAGCTAGCCTGGCTCATAATACCTCTCTCTGAGTCAAGAAAACACATGGTTGACATTGTTGCCAACTTTGGGGGATACTCTTAAGTATTCATTAAGCTGCCTAGTGACAACACCTCTGATGTTTCCTAAGTGTGGAAAATACCTGTTTTAACATTTCAGAATTTACCGTATAATTTTTTCATAAATATTTTGAAACATTTGGAAATTTGTTTTTCCTGTTCACACACAAAATTCTAACTATCAAATGCACATTTCTGCTAATTCACTTTAGCATTTAGGGAGGTATTATGGGATGGGCAGCCTTGAAGCGCCTGTGAATCATTTTTGCACGAGATTTGGGTAGAAAGTATTGCTATTTAAAAAATAAAGCAATTTCTGGCTTTCGATCCAAAAATTCTAAAAAAGAATTTTGCAATCTTCAGTACATTTTGTGAGGTGGGGAGAGTGAGGAAGTGAGGATAGTACTAATATTTGTATAAACTTAGTGTAAGTCTTGTCAGTTAACCTGTCTCTGTGAGTTGATTAAATATCCTGGATTTTTTTTCTGTAAACAGAGTGACCACAATGGCATTTTCTTAAAACAGTCAATAACCAACATGGATCCTGCCAAAAGAGCTTGACTATGTGTGCAAGAGAGCATCTGTTTTAAATATGGATGTAACAGTTAATGATCTTTCCTTTGTGTACATTTGGATTCACAGTGTTCACATTAAAACAAATGCAAAATTTTTTTCTTCATGCTTTGTGTGTTGTGTGATTAAGAAAGTATTCAATGGAATTTTGAAAATCGAATTTCATGACAAGCGTGTTTATAAAAATTTGGAAACAAATGTTTAAGAAAGGATAATGTTAGAAATTCTCTTATCCAAAGAACATTTTCTTTGGTAGGTCAAAATGTATTAAGAATGTTAATGGGAAAAAGCCCACACAAGGACAGCAAGCCCAGAGAGTGCAAGTGACAAAAACCTGGAGTAAAAGAGTTTACACTAAAGAGAAGAAGCAAGAACATTTTCCTAGAAGAGTAAAGAGAGGAAGTGAGGAAACGAGGGAGAGACATAGTATATGTTACAGAACTAAAAACATGCCAGTAGGAATGACAGTTTAATTCAGGAAAAATGAGTAAGAAAATGAGTCATACCAAAGTAAAGACTAGGAGGCTGAAAAAGAGAAATGCCTTGAAGACTTAGATGTGAAGGAGATAAATCAGTCAGGGACTAGAGGCGCTGTCTTCCCCAGACCAGGAGTGGTGTCCCCAAGTGCCTGGGGGTAACTACTGTGATGTTACAGGACCCAGGCAGGCTAAGTTGGATGAACTATACTTATGCAATTCCTCAACTATATTATAGCTCAAAAGTATTTCTGCCCTGGGATTTCTTTGAACTAAAGTACAACTATACCCTGAAAAGTGTTGCAGTATGCTGGTAGTTCTCAACCCTGGCCGAGTATCAGAATTCTTTGTTTTATATATATATATATTCCATGAAATGAATATACATCTATCATTCCTCAACTCTGATATTCAGATTGAATTAGTCTATGGAGGTTGGTTCTGGGCATTTTATATTTTTATAAGACGTTTGGTTAACATCAGTTTTATTTGTTTGACTACTTCATGAGTCCAATTAGCCAAAACTTCTTTGCAGGGTTTTTAGCTGAAGGGGCCCAGATCACATGTTGAATGAATGGGATTTTGTGAGGGCAGGTTCACTCTGAGGATGAGAGGTGGGGGAAAAGGAAGAATAAGAAGCCATATCTGTCTCAGAATAACCCATCCTCCCTCAAGCCACATGACCCAGGGAAAACCTGAACTCTTCCCAGAGAGGAAGGATCCCACTTTAATGTCATGTGTGAACACCTTTTGAATATTTCTGTCCTGTCATTCATGATTTTGGAGTCAATATCATTGGGAAAATTATAGAAAAGAAGAAATTAGAAGGGAATAAGAAAGGAACAATACTGTACATACTCTATTTTTTATTTATTTCCATGAATTAAAAAGTAGTAAGAGATTTCAGTTTTGCCTATGACCGCAGACCTTCTGCTTTTCCTCTGTAATGTTTGATGTTTCTTCCTAGCTAAGTCTCCCCTTATAATGTGGGCGTTTGTGCTGGGAGAGGGTAGTTAAAGTCAGGAGCTAAAAACTCTCATTTTAGGGCAGAAGAGCAAAATTATTTAATTATTTCAAAAGTGATATAAACCCTATGCCATCAGAGCTTTCCTGCCCTCCTGGGTCTTTTCTCTCCATCCCTGGGTCTTGTCTCCCTTTTCATCTAAGTCTGAGGTGGTCTCTCTCAGGCTATAATCTTATTATAAATCTCCACAGTGGGCATTTATTTATTAACCTAGATAGCGGAAGGTGTGTTTTTTTTTTTTTTTCTTTTGACTCTTACTGTGGAAATGTCCAAAAGCTGCAGTAGGAAGTTAAGGAGAAACTTTCTGATGTGAAAAGTCTTTCTCTTCAGACCACTCTCAAGATACAATTCTGCTCTAACAAGAAAGAAAGAAAGACAGACAGAAAGAAAAAGGGGTCGCTGTAGGGAGGATTAGCCATGTTCAAAATACCACTAATCTCATTAAAGGCCTCCCAGGGGGAGGCCCCTGTAGGCTTTGTAATGACCTAAATCAAGTATTAGCCCTTCCCTAAAATTAACCCCACGTTCTACAAAACGCATGGTCTTGTCTCTAAAACTGGAGAAGGCTGAAAAAGGATTAACAAAGGAAGGAAGGGAGCTTGTTAGGAATTGCAGGACCATCAGACAGGACAGCAGGCCAAGGGGCAACTGATTATCGATATTTCGTTTTCTCTATCCTGGCTGTCTCACAGACTTAGTCAGAAAAGGGATTCACGCAGTTCATGTTTGAATGGAGAAAGAGAAGAAAAGGAAGAAGTTTCCACTTGCAATTGTCTATCATTTTATTTTTCAAATCACCGGACTTTTAGGGCCACAGCTTCTTCATGGCCTGATTTATAATCTGTCCGGTCAAAATTCATCCTTTAAAATAAAAACAGCAAAAGAACTGAGAGGGAAATTCCCTTGACCTAAAAAGTCATCTTCCTTTATATATTATTTCTACACTCCCCAAGGAACCATTATCTAATGTATTAGCTACCAAGTTACCAAAAAGAAATGAGTGGAGATCTTTGCTCAGCCTTTTTAGCTGATTGGGATACCTTCACCTTGCAAACGCGCGCAGGAAAAACAAGTGCGCGATAAAAGAGAAACTAAAGCTTTTCAGCGTATTGAAGGCCGCCTTCCGTTCCGGCTCGCCCAAAGAAGAGCGAGGTTTCCCGACCAATCAAAACATTGAAATGTTAATCATCTCTTCCTTGCTCCACCCTTCGATGACCTAATTTGTAAAACCAACCGAACGTCTTGTTTTCAAACAGGTCCGCAAAAATACTATTTAAAAGGCATTGTGGAGGCTGAGTAGCTATTGTGATAGCAACCATGTCAGGTCGTGGTAAGGGAGGGAAAGGACTAGGGAAAGGGGGCGCCAAGCGCCACCGGAAGGTTTTGCGGGACAACATTCAGGGCATTACCAAGCCTGCTATTCGGCGTTTGGCTCGGCGCGGTGGTGTGAAGCGCATCTCCGGCCTCATCTACGAGGAGACCCGCGGGGTGCTGAAGGTGTTCCTGGAGAACGTGATCCGGGACGCGGTGACCTACACGGAGCACGCCAAGCGCAAGACGGTCACGGCTATGGATGTAGTCTACGCGCTCAAGCGCCAGGGACGTACCCTGTACGGCTTTGGCGGTTGAGAGTATGAGAGTCGGTATCCTTCAAACTTTAAAAACAAAGGCCCTTTTCAGGGCCGCCCACACAATCATGAAAGAGCTGTTGTACCTTGCAGGGAAGTTTGAGTAGGTAAAAGCAAACAGTTTGTAGAAACGGCTGTTAAAGAAGAGCAGCATTTACTAACGCAGTCAGGTAACTAACTACGGGGTATTACGCCTGAAGTGTGAGAAACGGGTTTTTTCACAAAGAAACTAGGCTTTTGGGAGGGGTAGAAAAGGTGTGAACAATGGATTGATTAGAAAGACTCCCTGAGAGATGTGTATAAGTTTTGAGAAAAGTCCTTTAGCGTGCTGGTGGCATCCCTAGCACAAAAGCTCACACTATCAGCCCACACAATATACAGCTATGTAAATGAAGGCTGTTGGGGGACGAGCTCTCATTCGACGATTCTCGGTGTCGTGAGACCCACTGTTAAATTGCGGAGGGTGGCATTACAAGCAATGCCATGTTCCTATTGGCCAAAACTACCAGGGGGTTTCCTAGTGGCCTCCGGAACTGGAGGAAAAACCTTGATTGGTTAACGTTCTTTTTAACCCAGTGTACGCGGGCACTAAAGAGCTCAAGGAGTAAAGAGACACAGGGTCACCGAACCGGTTCTATACAGACTCTTAATAGTGCTGGGGTCAGACTGGCTGGCTGCTGGGCGGGGTGAAGCTGTACGTTCATCCTTTTCCTCTATGACACAGAGAAGCTTAGTGCCTTGAAGGGCAAGTGAGGAGTTTCCTGCACTATTGCAACTCCAATCTCAAAGGGAAACAATGGCTACCTTATCCAAGGAAAGCAGGGCTGTGGCTGATTCTATAAAATTTAAACCACTGTGTTTAGCCGTTTTCCACGTAGGATACAATTTTTTCCAAGGCCGTTATACAAGTGAATTCAGAAAAGCTATGTCCTAGTGAGTTGTCTGTAGAACATACTTGTATTTGAGAGAATGCATTATGTAGTTTTTGCATTGTGCTTTGTTCAAAATTGCCCCAAACACTGATGCCAAAAATAACAGTATGAATTTATCATTTGCGGGGATCTTTAAGAATGCTAAATCACAAATTAAGTGAAAACTAACTTTTAAAGTCAGAGTGATGCTTCAACTCAGACCCTGAGCATTTCCTAATACAAGCAGTTTTGTGATTTAGAAGGTTCACTTCGGAACGTAACAACGCTGCAGCCTCCCAACATTTTTATCAATGTTTTAGGGTTAGTATTTTCAGCCTGTGGAGCACGATCTGGACAAATCTATACATTACACAAATAAAAAAAATCAGTTGTTATTAGACCAATCATATTAGAGTAATTATCAAACCAAAATTTCAATGTAATAATGCATGTGCTTAACATATGAACATCCAGTAGCTACTTCCAAAATAATGTGGATGAACAGTATTTCAATATTCTTGCAAATGTTAAACCGAAAATACTTGATTTCTAAAGGCTAATCCCAGTTACGAAAATTCAGTTAAAGACTAGACAGGTTAAAAAAATATTCCCACTAATCCAAACTGAAACACCCTGATTCCTATAAATTAAACCCCTATATAATTAAAGGGACACCTCGTTTAATACTTCAGATGGCACTGTAAGTATGTATGTATACTGGAGTATCATTTGTGACAAAACACCATCAGGCAGGGCTAGGCACGGAGCTGACCCTTCTTTTAGTCTGAGTGTAAACATATACGCTCTTCCAAAGACAGTATACAATCTAGCTCTCACACTGGACACCACCAGTGTCCCCCTTGGACTCTGAACCGGGGTGTGAGTCTAAGGTTTGTGCCTAAGAGACGCCCTTTCACCTCAATCTTGCCTCCTGGCAACGCCACTGGCGGTAGCTCTCGTTAAAGACACACAATTAGAGTTACACCCTTTTAAAAACCTTTTGGGTGGCTCTTAAAAGAGCCTTTGGGTTCTGTATTTGTCTTTTCTAGTCTTACTTCTTGGTTGCCCTCCTAGAACTTGTTTTCTGCTGGGTCAACTTCGGATTCCCAGTTTTATTAAGATTTCCTGCCCTGGCCTTTGCTGGACTCTTACGTTGTTGTTTGGCCTTCGCTCCTTTCGCTTTCCTGCCACTCCGAGCCGTTGTTGCCCTAGGCTTTTTAGCGGTCTTGTTGCTCTTGGCACTCTTTGGAGACTTAACGTCTCTAGATGAAACCAGCTTCTTGGCCTTAGTAGAAGCAGGCTTTCTAACCTTGGTAGGCTCAGGAGCAGACTTTCTACTGAGCTTGAAAGAGCCGGAAGCACCAGTACCCCTGGTCTGCACCAAGATCCCCTTCGTTACCAAACTCTTGAGACCCAACTTAATACGGCTGTTATTTCTCTCTACATCATAGCCCGCGGCTGCCAACGCCTTCTTCAGCGCGGCCAGGGACATGCCAGCTCTTTCCTGGGACATCGAAAGGGCCTCGATGATCAGCTTGGACACCGAAGGGTTTGTAGTCTTTCGACTCGCACCCGTCAAGCCAACCGGCTTCCTGCCTCTCTTCTTAACCGGAGGTTTTTCCATGGGAGCTAGAACCAGATCGGCTGGAGCTACTGGTGCTGTCTCAGACATTTCATCAGATCAAAGCAAACGGTAGCGCTCAGCAGGGAACGTAAAATGCCGCCGTTCCACAGGGCTTTATATAGGGTAGGGAGCGCTGTGATTGGTGCATCGCTCAGGCACCGCCCCCGCCCTTGGGGGAGGAGCACTTGTGTTTGTTTGACTCCCAAAAGTTGAGTCCCGCAAAAGTCCTCTTCACGGAAACGCGCAGATTCCAGTGCTGAATAATCCACAGAGATACAGATTTCACATGCCTTTCCCCCTTTTCATGAAAAATGACCCTGCATGCCAGAACTATTCAGAAAAGCCCTCAATTTGCAGCAAAATTCAAAGTGAAGAACGAAACTTCCTCTTTTCCTTGTAAATTTAAAAGTAGTTTTTAGCAAGAGACTTACCTTATCTCTTCTGGGTGGTCTTCCAAATGGTTGGCTTCCAATTGGTGGAGAAAAAAAAATTATTCACGCCCTGATTTTTACTGAAAATTACTTGTGTATATGAGGGAAGTAACACAGATCTCTTTGATGTCTCATTGTGGAGTTAGAAGTTTCTCTTAGAACAGTCTAAAAACTACCGGGTAGGACCTTATTTGGGCAAATACAATCTAATAAACCATGATCTACAGGCATGTGGGTTGCCTGTAACTAAAATCACTTAGTCCCTTCGGATTGGTTGCAGACCCTCAAGCCTGGGGTAAGTAACATGGCTCTCATGCGCTAACTGCTCGGCCCCCTTGTGGCTGGCGTCTTAACTGAGTTTTGGCCTCTGGCTTCATTAATTCAGATCTTACCGCTATGCCCACACCATCCTCAAAAACATATATGTATTGTGAGACATAGTGACAAAGGCCAGCTGGTGGGGATTTTCTACCGTCAGGTGCTTGGGGGTGAGCCCTGTGGTACTGCCTGTGAGGGATGAGAGCAGTTCTTGCATGAGGCCAGGTTGAAGGGTTCAAGCTTGTTATTCTCACACAAAGCAGTTTTGAAGGTGCCCAGAAGCCTCCCTTCTCTCAGGTGCTGTTCCCTCTGGGCTACTGGCAGATGAAGTCATCCTCCCTTTTAAAATAAGTCAAATCAAACGTCTAATGGAAACGTACCCAAATAAATGCTCAGTCTGTTTCTTGCCTTGTTACAAAATGCATTTCTCCAACTCCTTTTCACAAGCAGGCAAAGGCCAACCTGATTTTGTGCTGTCCAGGTGTCCAAATCCAGTCCTGGGAAATAAATGCCGGGTTTGCTTGTTAAGGAATCCTCTTTACTACCTGTGGGCTGACACCTGAGTCGGGTGGGGAGATATGGGTTTCTGTGAAAATAGCTTACACATTTGTCTAATATAATGGCTCGTAATTATAAGCTGTGTTTGAAACATCTAATACCCAAGCCATCACTTCACTTTACAAAGTGAATCTCTTGCTACATGATTTCTGTGAACTTGTAAGAGCATGGTCATGGTTGCACATTTAGGTAGGTTTTAAGAAAGCTCTGCCTAGAAGCAGATCCTGGTGGTAGTGAGAGAGGCAAAGAGGAGGCAGCTCTGCCTTCTTAGCGGGTGAGGGGCACAGTCTCCCACACAAACCATTGACCATCTGTGCTGACTTAAGTTATGACCTCTGATGTTCCAACAATTTAACAGACTCACTATGGCTTTAAACATAGTAGTCTTAACATTCCAAGTGCCACATGTTGTTCTCAATGCTGTTGAAAAGGTACCAAATTTAAAGACTGTGCTGGAGGGAACCACAGCTCTCCCTTTCTGTGCCTACATTCACACCTGTCCTCACAAGCTCACGGCCAGAATGAGGGCAGTAATGGTGGTACTAGAAAAAGAGGGCCAAGTACTCAAAACTCTTCAAAGGTAGAACCAACAGGGCTTTGATTTCTCCTCTTTTCTTCGTGACTGAGTCTTCCTCCAAGAGTTTCAAATGTGCTTTCCATAGCATTTTATTGTTTGAGAATAAATTGAGTTAATACAGTAAAGCACTCAGAAAAGTACCTGGCATATAATAAGTGCTACACTGGTGTTAGCTACTTTTGTTATATTAAGCATTTTAATTAATGTTAATATGCAAATTATATCTACTGCTCCCTTAATCCCCTATCCCTGCTCTACCTTCTCCCTTTCTGGAACATTTATTCCTCTTTTTAATTATTCCTTGTTTTCTGTCTTCCCCAGATAAGATGTAAGTGCCGAGAGGGTAGTGACTTTGTCCTTTTCCAAGGAGACAATCAGTTCCAAGAAGACGGCTCCTTAGCAGCTGGAGGACAAAGAGCCAGAGGATGGTCCTTAGGTCTGGAGGAGAAAGGTAAGAAATCCTCTCCTGAGACCATCCCAAAACTGGCCTATGAGAAGCTATTGTGGGGACTCTTAAAAGGGACCAAAGGGTAAGAGGAAGAGGAAAAAGGGAAAGGAGAATAGAAGGAGGCAAAAGAGAACTGGATGTGATGACTGAGAGTTCACCTGCTCTGCATCCATCAACTCCTGTTTCTCTGCCTG